TCGTCTCAGGTGGAATGATTGCCTTCTTTTTCAAGGCTGAGTAATATTCCATCATATGGATATACCACATTTTCTTTATCCATTCATACATCGATGGATATTTAAGTTGTTTTCACATCCTGTAATTATTGGAGCTGTATGAACCTTCACTGTTGAGTTAGACTATTCATGTTCAATTTCACCTTTACAATGAATTTTTAACAAAAAATATTTGAAAACTAGAGCATTTGTTGTGGCTAATGAACAAAGGCACTTACTAAAACAAAACTGAGGTACTCATTTTCCTCATGAAGTTACATATAAATTAAAATATTAATATTCAATGCCAGCATGGTGGCAGTGAAATTGATATATTCACACAAAGCTGGAGGCATTGTGAGTTGTCAAAGTTTTTCTGGACAGAAAAAGGCAAGATGTGCCAAAATTCAGAAACATGTTGAAATCTTGTAATATTCATGTCTAGAAAATCTGATAAAACTCCTTCTACAGAACATCCAGCAATAATGAATAAAATATTACATGCACTCTCTTAAATTCACAGAGGAATTTACAAGAAAATAAGGAAATCTCAAAAGGATAAAAACAAACATCCATCAATGGATGAATGGATGAACAAAATGTGGCATGGGCATACAACGTAGTAGTATTCAACCATAAAAGAGACATGAACTCCTGACACGTCATGTGACATGGATGAGCCCTGAAAGAACACAAAGGGCCACATGTTGTAAGACTTCATTTAAGTGAAATGTCTAGGACAGGCAAACTCACAGAGACAGGGCCCATACTGCTGGTTTCCAGGGGCTGGAAGGATGGGGAGTGACTGCCTAATAGGTACAGGCTTCCCTTTTGGGGTGACAAAAATGTCTTGGAACTAGATAGAGGTAACCACCAAATTGTTCATTTAAATATGATTAATTTTATGTTACATGCATTTTCTGTCAGACACAAAAAAAGCAAACAAAAAAAAGCTGATGGGAAGCAGGAAACCAGGGCTTCGATTCTTCTGAAGTTTCCATTGCTGGAGCTCATTTGCTGATCTTGGTGACAAAAGGCTTGGACTCTGATGGCTGTGTGGGGTAAGAGAGACGTCCTTGGGCCTCTGAAAGGTCCTTGCGTGAAGCCAGAACCCTCAGACGTCTGTACTTTCAGGGAAAGGGTGGTCTAGAGAAGACATTGTCTACAGCCAGTGGGAGACAAGGGACTTTTTGTCCATCTGGCTCTGGTACTGGGACAGGATGGCCTTCCCCTAGTGCCGTAACTCTGCTCCTTCCTAGCTTTGGGGTCTTGGGCCGTTTGAAAACTCTTGAGCTTCCCTCTCTTTGTCTGGCGTGCAGTGCTCCCCTCGCAGGACTGGCAGGAAGGGCACACGGGATTATGGAATCCTGGTGCTGAGCACCAAGTCTGGGAAGCAGAGGGAACTCCACACAAGTTAGTTCTCTTCTCCCTGATGTGCATCCTATACTTAAAATAATAAGAAAATGAAAGTGCTGGGGAGTGGCTCTGGCAGCACGCAGCTGAAGAGAGGAGCCCATAGAATGATGGGTTCAATTGAAATAGCCCCCACTGCTTCAGTGAGAACCTGCAAGGGCTTTTCACGCTAAAGCTGACTGGGAGTCTAGACCCAGGTTCTCTCCCCCTACAAACTAGCTGAGGCCCAGTCGCCTGGATGTCTTGGACCCGGTGCTGAGCCAGGAGCAAAGAGCCGTGGTGAGGTTTAAGGAGGTGGGGGGGCAGGGTGGGTGGAGCCTCCCAGAATAACAAAGTGGGGTTGGGGCAGCTCAGAGCATAGAGGGGTCCCGCTATGGCAGAAGGGGGTTTCAGTAGCTAGAAGGACTTTGCAGAGATGAAGCTCCGTCCTCTACACGGCTTCATGAAGCTGGTGAGGTGAAAGCCAGAGCCAGGCCCTCTTTCAAGCATTCGCAGGGGCTGATCCTGACTCACATCTCAGCTCTGATCATGAGGAGAGGATGGTGGAGGCTTAGGGTCCTCTTCTCCCTTGATGCCCCGGCTGTTGCCTTTGGCCTCTGTTCTGAACTTTGCCATCTTTATGCTTTTATTTGGGGCCCATCCGGGTGGCTTGCTTTCTCTCTGTCGTCTTGGAGAAGTCCTACTGATTCCCTATGCCCACCTCTGCTTCTTTATTTTTCAACATCACTAGCACATCACTCCAAGTGTGGTTACATCCTCATGGGTCTGCTCCCCTGGCAAAGTGGGAGTGTCCTACGAGAAGGGATGGGATCTAATTCATCTCTGTGGTCCCCACGCCTATTTCAGAGCCTGGTCCTCAATATATGTGTTGAAGGCAGAAATATTCCTCTAGGAAAGATGCCAGAGTTCTTAGCTTGGCAGTCAATGCCCTGTAATCATACTCCTGGAACCCTTCTGGGAGTGCTTCCTACTTGTCAGGCGTTGTTTGCACCTTATCTCCTTGAGTCCTCACAACAACCAAGGACGTGCAGCTGTTTGTACCTCCGTGTTCCAGCTGAGGACACTGCGGCTGGGTGAATTTGGTGATGAGCCAAGGTCCCACCTGGAGCTGGGCTGAAACGCACATGTGCATGTGTCTACAGCCAGGGTGCTCAACTCCTGCAGGAGGCTCTCTCCTCCTCTCGGGAGGTTTTTTCCTTAAGTTATCTCCCTTCCAGAGGTGTCCCTGTGCCTTGGACTTCTTGCTGCTCTCCCATGCCCTCCTCCGGGTGGCTGCTTTCTTGGGCATCCGTGGAGCAAGTGATGATTTTCCTGCCTGGACTATGAGCATGGGCTCCTGGATGGGCATCTCTGACCTGAGCCAGTTGGGCGTCCAGGGAGGGAGGATGATCTGCCTATCCGTTAGTCACCCTGTTCTGGGACCAGGAGCCCTCAGCTCCAGCCAGGTTCACTCTTAGTGGTTTGGGTGGGCGACCGCATGGCACCCTGTCTTCAGGAGTACCCAGTTTGTTTATTCACATCAAATGTTTGCCGCAGCATCTCACAAACTGTGGTCCAATGTTCAGAATTATGATTAAACAGCCAAATAAAAGAGATCTCAGGTAGGTTTCCACTCAAGGAAGCACGGGATTAAACTTTATCAAATGGATTTCTCTTTGGGTCGTGGTGGATGTATCTGTGGCCTTGATGGTGGTGGTGATTTCACGGGTGTATATTTATCCCCAAAGTCCTTGAGTTTATACATTAAATATGTACAGCTTTTTATATGTCAAAAACTAACGAACTTCACCCCCTGAAAGCTTTGTTGTTATTTATCAAACATACCAAATATACAAAATGTTATAGAGAGCTATAAAATGAACGCTAGTGTGCCCACAACCCAGGTTAAGTGATCAACTTGACAAACGCTTTGAGTCCAAAATAAAAGAAAAAGGGTTTCCCTCACCCAGGACTTCTCAGCGGCTTCAACAGGCTGATGGGCACCTTTGTGTGAGGATGGTGGGGTGGGGGTGGGGGCAGCCGGGCAATGAAATGTAACCCTTGCCAAACTTACTCAGGCAATTTCCTTAACTGTCTCAGCAGTGTCTGGCTCCTCAGGGAGGAGCTCTGGGTTTGAGTTCACTCCCGGTTTGGGCTGCTGCACGGCAGAGAGAAGTGTGTGGGGAGGTTGTGTCTCAGTCTTTCCCACCTGCTTGGCTGTGGCTTCCCTCTTGTTGGCCTGATGTGAAGGGGTTGCTCTGCCAGGTTTTAGCACTGACTCCACAGGTTTAAGGGCTCAGTCCCACAAGACGGCCCTCTTGTGAGACCAGTGGCAGGTATTGGGGGCCCAGGGTACCCACACTGCTGTCTGACTTGGTTTCACAGAATGGGGTTCCCATAACCCTCTCTGTTGAGGTTGGACACTTTGCTAGAATGATTCACAGAATTCAGGAAAGCATTTTAGTTACTGTTGCCAGTATTATAGAGGAAACCACTCAGGAATAGCCAGTTGGAAGAGATGCTTAGGGCAAGTTATGTGGGAAGGGGCATGGAACTCCCCTGCCCTCTCCAGGTGCACCACCCTCCCAGCGCCTCAATGTGCTCACAACCCAGAAGCTCTCCAAATCCTGTGGTCTAGGGAGACTCATGGGGAGCTCACTACCCAGGCACGATTGATCCAATCATGGGGCATTGGTGAGGAACTTGACCTCCAGCCCCTCTCCCCTCCCCAGAGGTCCTGGGTGTGGGGCTGAAAGTTCCAAGTCTGAACCTGCCTGGGTATCTCAGGTGCTGCCCCCATCCTGAAGCTACCCAGGGGCTCCCATCTGTCAGTCATCTCGTCAGTATGGAAGACACTCGACACTCCAGTGATTCCAAGGGATTTAGGAGCTGAGTGTCAAGAACCAGGGACAATGAGCAGAGACCAAACATTTACGTTTTCCTATATCACAGGGAGGCATGTGCTCACGTCAGACTGTCTGGCTTGGATGGCAGGACAACAGGGACAGGCTAGAACCTGACTGAGAAAGAGGCGGGGCTATTGACTTTGTCCAGAAGACACCTATTACCCAAGAGAATCCTGTCTCCAAGACTAGCTCCAAATTGCCCTTATCCTGGGGAGCCTCACCTGTCCTCACCCAGGGCACAGCCCTGGATTCCCACTCTTGTTCCTCCAGCTCCCACCTTCCCTCTGACCCTAGCTGGACCCCAAGGAGTTGAGGCATCTGTACCCAGCCCTGTCTCCCCAAGACTGGGAGCTCCTCAGCCCTCAGCAGGGGCTGGGGCCTCTCTGGGCAGAGAGAGGTGGCAGGGGCCCTTGCTGTGTGTGCAGAGCTGGAGGTTGAGTGGAGGCTGCAGGGCCCCAAAGGCCAACTGAGGTCCCTCCTGGCCTCTCCAGACCCTGTGGACAGATCCTCTAGGTTGGCGTCCCAGAGAGGCCGTGGGGAGCAGCGTGCTGGGAAGGCTGCAGCAGGGATAAAGCACAGGGCATCAACTGGAGGAGCCCCAAGGTGTGCCCCACACCTGCCAGTGTGTGCTGCTCACAGCATCATGCAGGATAGCTTCTTCTGCCCTCCCCTGCTGGCGGCTTCATGGCAGAGGCAGCCCAGGCTGAGGGGGACCAGGACGGCGAGGGTAGGAGGACAGGGTCAGACAGTTTTTGGGAGCTTTGCCCAGCCTGGACATGGGGTCAGGGCCAGGATAAAGTGTCTTAAGAGAGAATTTAGTCTTGGGAGGGGTCTTCTCACGTTGCCTATTCTTTTCCCTGCTTCTCACCCTGCCTAGATGCCCTTTGCAGCTTCTAGGTCAGCATTCTCATTTTCGGTTGATTCTGACACCTATGGAATATTTTTACATGTTGGAGACGGGTTTGGTTGTTTGACTCATGCAGAGGGAGGGGATGCTACTGGCATTGGTGGACTGGGGCCAGGGAAGCTGCTAAACGTTGTACAATACTGTAATAGGGTGGTCCATTGTTTCTTTCATTGAATCAATGTGGATACACTATTTTTAACTAAAGTTCATATTATTCAGTAGGTTTCACTCTTGTGTTGTTCATTCTATGGGATTTTTCTTTTTTGAAGATTGGCACCTGAGCTAACAACTGTTGCCTTTTATTTTTCTTCTTCTCCCCAATGCCCCCAATACCTGGCTGTCTATTCTAGTTGTGAGAGCCTCTGGTTATGCTGTGTGGGACGCCTCCTCAACATGGCCTGATGAGCGGGGCCATGTTTGCAACCAGGATCCGAACCAGCGAAATCCTGGGCTGCCGAAGTGGAGTGTGGGAACTTAGCCACTCATTCATGGGGCCGGTCCCAGGTCCTATGTGTTTTGACAGAGGAATAATGACATGTATGAACTGTTACAGTATCATACAGAATAGTTTCATGTGCTATGTCCTTAATGTGCCCAAATGGAATTATGCCAGAGAGTTTTTCCTCTGTTTTGCTTTATTCACTCCTATTATATTAAAGACTCATTCACCCTGCTCTGTGTATATCTAGCTCCTGCCTGGGGCTCCAGGGTTTGCATCCAACACATCTTACCTGCCCTCTTCCCAGTTGTGGACTCGCAAGCTTGTCTCATTTCCCCGCTAAAGCAGCGCAGCAAGGAACATCCTCTTACACGCTCCCTTATAGATAGGTGTGAGAAATGAGATAGTTACTCAGGGGTACTGAGCATGTCTATTCTTAATTTTCATCATTCTACATCCCACCAGCAGTGTTACAGTTTCTTTCTTCCTGTAGCCCGTCAACACTGGACACTCTCTCTTTTAGGGAATTGGATAAGTATACCTTGAAATTCCATCCCCGTTTCTTTCTTTCTCTCTCTTTCTTGCTCTTTTCTTCCTTTTTTCAAGCATACTTATATATGCCTTGGCAACTCCTTTTGTGAGATATCTGCTCGTTACCCTTGCTCATTTCTGTATTGAGGTTCCTACTTCTTCCTGATATAATGGTTTCACGTTTATACTAGATAGTGTTCCCTTGTCAGCTTCAGGCAACGCAAATGATTTTTCCCAACTCTCCATCTGCCTGTCAACTTTATCAAAAGTCTCTTTCACTGAACATAAATCCTTAATGTGGGTGTGCCATATCTTTTTAGAATCACCTATCATTTGTGCTTTTAGAGTTTTCTTAAGAAATCCTTTTCCACTGCTACATCAACAAAATTGTTTTTCTAAATTTCTCCTGTTAACTTTATAGTTTATATTTCATATTTATGTCTTCACCCATGTGGATTACATCTCTGTATGTGGCCCTAGGCAGAAAATCTGGTTTACTTTGCTTCATAAAACGATCAGTTTTCCCACCATAAATTAGTAAAAATCCATCATTTCTGTTTGGTTTCTGCTGCCACCTTTATCGTAGATTAGATTTTGATAATGCAGGCATATTTTTTGAGAAAATCAATCAATTTAATCAGTGTCTTTATATGTTCCAGATTCACACTGTTCAAAATGACTCTGACTCTACAATTTGTGTCAATACCTAGGATGGCTGTCTCTGCTGTTTACTGCATTTTTAGAAAATTGGTATAGCTTTGCATGGATTTTTACTTTTCAGAAGGAAATTTAGCATAGTGTTAAATTGATAGTCAATTCACAGAAATTGGAAATGCAGTTGCACCAATGATATAATTTGGAAAAGGACTGACATCATAACCATACTAGCTCATCCCATCCAAGAGTATAGACGGGTTTCCGTGTATTCAGATCATCTACATTTTTATTAGTGGTTAAAATTTCTGTCTTTGGAGGTGTTGCATGTTTTGGGTTAATTATTAGATATTTTGTAACAGAGGATTTCAAAGTGCCATACGAGGAACCCTGGGGTCCATCAGGTCCTTACTTTTCCAACTGCATGTGGGGATGTGTTTGCCATATGCTTCAACTAAAACAGCGTGTGCCACAGACTGATGAAGATGCAGATGCGAGTGCCAGCTTGTCTCCCCTCAAGTCAGACATTAGGTGTATTTGCAAAAATGTCAAACCAGGACACTCTTCTCATTACTTGTTGTTTGAAAGTGTAATTACTTTTCTAAAAACGTTACCTGTATTAACATGAAAGTGGTGTGTTATCGTTCTTTTAAGTATACTAATCAGTAAATATTTTTAAAGATTCTCAGCTTTAACATGTAATATGATAAAAATTGATAGAGTCCTTGGAGGCCTCTGCCTGTTCAATGTAAAGGGATCCTGAGACCAAAATGCTTGAGAGCTGATTCCTCATCGTTTGTGTCACTATGGGAAATGTCACCATACTTTTTACTTAAATTCTATATTTGATTGATTATTCCTGGTAACAGCATGAGGAACACTGTGAGTTTTGTAAACAGATTCACCTTCGGCTGCGTTCTGTTCTCCTGTCGTTCTCTGTGTCCCGTCCTGACGCTTGGATCTTCTCCGGGCAGATGATCACGTTTCTTCCCTTCCCATCCTGATGCCCCTTCTTTTCCTCTCCTGACAGCCCCACCCAAGACGGCCAGTTCCATGCTGAAGAACAGCAGAGACAGTGAGTAGCCGGGGCCTGTGCCTGATCCTAAGACACTGCATCTAGTTTCCCCATTTAGTACAGGATTTGCTAATTTTGTAGTACATATTCTTGATCTAGCTAAGAAAGACCCCTTTGATTTCACACAGTGAAGAGACCTTTCATAAAACCATGAATAGGAGTTGAAGTTTACAATTATCCCGCCTGAGTGAAATAATTATATGAGTTTTCTTTTTTACTTTATTTATATGATGAGTCACATGACAGGTTGTCTGATGTTCAACCATCCTTCTCATACATGGGATCTTCCCACACCACTTGATCACAATATGCTGTTTTTCATAAACCGTTGCATTTGACTAGGTTATGTCTTATGATGGATTTTAAAATCCACACGGATGGGGGAACGCATATGTCTGCTCTTATAAACGTTCTACCTGGCTTTAGAATCAAGATTGCATTAACCTGAGGAAGTGAGTTCAGTCGATTTCATATATGTTTTTCTGTTTTTTGAAGAACGTGTATGAGGTTCCAGTTGTTCCTTATAGTTTAGGAGAGCTCACCTGCAAATGCACTGGGGCCAACGGCATTAGGTAGGGACGGTCCTTGACGAAACTTCTCAACTTCTTTAAAACTTATTTCCGCATCCAGGGCTTCTATTTTTTCATGCGTCAGTTTTGGAATTGTATATTTTCTAAGAATTTATTCCTTTCATGTATAGTTTCAAATTTGTCATGTTATGTTTTTAGTCATTTAAAAAATATCATTAGTTTTGTTATTTCCCAGTGTTAATTTTGTGTTTTGTTACTCGCATCTTCTCCTTTTTTCTATCTAACTAATCTTTTCCAATAATCTGATATTAGTTTTATTAAGCATGATGTTTTCTTGTTTTCATTTCCTGATAAATATATTTAAAGGTGTCTATTTCCCAAATAAGATTATTTTGGGTTAAAAAATTGACATTCAATGCTTAATTTATTTAATTAAAATATTTCTGAATTTTTTTGATTTACTGTTGAGACATTAGATTTAATAGAAAATTTAGCTTCCAACATAAGAGATTTGAAAAGCTATTCCTTCTCCATAATTTCTAATGCTAGTGTATTATAATCTGAATAATATTTAACTTTGCCATTGATGGAAAAAGCTTTTACATCCTAATAGAGTCAATTTTTGTAAAAGTCTTCTCTGTGTTTGAAAACAATGTTTAATCACTTTTTTGGAAGCGTCGAAATATACCCAATAGCTAATGTCTCAATATTACTAATTGCACTCTTGCTAATAATTCAAAAATGGCATTTCTGAAATCTGTTAAAATATCTAACTATAATTTATCTACCTATTATTGATTTAGCTATTTCTATTTATATCTCTTTCATTGATGTTGTGTTGTTTGATTATTACTTAATATTCCAGGATGTATTGATTCATAGATTAATGATATTTATGCTGCTCACTAAGATGGTCTTCTAACATTTATAAAATATCATTTCTTTATCACTTGGTGTATGTGTGTAATTGTTAAATTTTAGCATGCATGTAAATACTGAGAATATTTTGCTTCCCACCCAAAATAGCAAGAATATGCTTAATGATTACATTAATAATGATTTCTTAATATTTCTACATCTAATCATTCATACCATGATCAAAGTTTTCTCTGTTGCCATAAAAATGCTTTACAGATGGTTTATGTACATCAGGACCCAATCTAGTACACTATATTGCATCTGCTTGTTATGTCACTTGAATTTCTCTTCATCCTTTTCATCACCTGGTTTATTGATGAGACCAAACCAGTTTCTATGGAAGGTTCTGCCTTCTGAATTTGTCTGATTGCGTCCCCATGGTATCATGTAGTTTCACCCTCCATCCTCTGTACAACGATCATTCGTTCATGATCAGCTTTGGCCAGTGGGCACATTTTCAACCTGGTTCCTGTATCCTCTTAACATTAGCCCATTACTCAGTGAAAGTTCCATTTCACAGTGGCAGACATGTCCTAGCTTTTGTCCACACTCAGACCATTTCTCCAGGATTCCTGGTTCCTTTGAGTGACTAGTCATAATGGAGACATTATGATTCTTGTTTCCTTAAATCCATTTTGTCTGTTATCAAGATTGCTGAATCAACTTTCACTTGATATATTTGCCTGGCATATAGTCATCCATCCTTCTCTTTTCAAATTTTCTATTCAGTTCCTTCAGAAGAGCAAACACAAAAACAAAATAAGATGGCAGATATACGTACCAATAAAATAGTATTAAAACAAGCATAAATGGGTTAAGCAATTAGAAGAAAAAGATTCTGAGATAAGAAAAAAATTTTTAACCCCAAGATCCAAATATATGTTTTCCTGAACAGGCACTCCATTCAAGAGAATTCAACTCTGACCATCTCTATCTGTCCTTAATGATTACAACCTGGGAAGTTTATTTTAGTCACTGTTAGTAAAAAGTCAGTAGTCAAACTATGTGTTAAGCATGTAATATGATGATCTCACTTTATCTATATCCCAGTGCTGATGGTAAGGACTCTTATGATTTACTCCTTGCTATGCATGAAGATTGTGAGACCCAGAAAAGTTAAGCCAATTGTTCAACAGTATAAAGTTCTTAAATTGCCATCATATCTCAGTTAGAGTCTGTTTGAATCACTGTGCTTCATTCTGTTTCTGATCTGAGCAGATGCAGCATCCTTGCGTGCTCAGAACTGGAGCACGGTGACTGAATTCATCCTCATTGGCTTCTCCACCTTCCCCCAGCATCTCCTGCCCATCTTCTTCTTCCTGTACCTGCTGATGTACCTGTTCACACTGCTGGGGAACCTGCTCATCATGGCCACCATCTGGAGTGAGCGCAGCCTCCACACGCCCATGTACCTCTTCCTGTGCGCCCTCTCCATCTCTGAGATTCTGTTCACTGTGGCTGTCACCCCTCGCATGCTGGTGGTCATGCTCTCCACCCATCACTCCATCACCTTTGTGGCCTGTGCCAGCCAGATGTTCTTCTCCTTCACGTTTGGCTTCACCCACTCCTTCCTTCTCATGATCATGGGCTATGACCGCTACGTGGCCATCTGTCACCCTCTGCGCTACAATGTGCTCATGAGCCCCCGTGACTGTGTCCGTCTCGTGTCCTGGTCCTGGGCTGGTGGCTCAGTCATGGGGATGATGGTGACATTGATAGTTTTTCACCTCACATTCTGTGGGTCTAACATGATCCACCATTTTCTCTGCCATGTACTTTCCCTCTTGAAGTTGTCCTGTGGGAAGGAGACATCTTCTGTCACCTTGGGTGTGATCCTGGTGTGTGCCACGGCTCTGATGGGCTGTTTGTTCCTCATATTCCTCTCTTATGTCTTCATCGTGTCTGCCATCTTGAGGATTCCCTCAGCTGAGGGCTGGCACAGAACCTTCTCCACATGTGTGTCCCACCTCACTGTGGTGGTCGTGCAGTATGGTTTTGCCTCCATCATCTACCTCAAGCCCAAGGGCCCTCATTCTATGGACAGTAACACCCTGATGGCCACCACCTATACAGTCTTCACGCCCTTTCTTAGCCCAATCATTTTCAGCCTCAGGAATAAGGAGTTGAAGAATGCCATAAAAAAAAGCTTCCTCAGAACATTCTGTCCTCTCAACTCATGACAGACTGTTTGAGAATGAGGAAATATGATAAGATTGCCAAGATGTCTCGCATTTGGACAGTTGTAAGGACTCAGGTGAGTGGAAATACCCACACTCCATAGGAGTTCAGCGCAATCTAGCTATTTGCTTTTCTGTAATTTTTTGTCTTCATGCTCCAGAGCCTGAGCAATCCCGATCTCTTGTTAATGACTCAGTGTGATGGACTCCAATCCAGTATCTAAGCCTAGGAATGTGCCATCTCTCTGTGGGCCAGTGGGGAGCATCACCTGGATGTGTCTGGGCACTGGTGCTCGTGGTCCTTCCTGAATGGACAATCAGGGGAAGACTTTACTACTCCCCAACAAATATGAATGAAGAAAAATAGGATAATAATAAATGCCACCAGCACTGAGTCCTTTCTGAGTATCAAGCATTGTGTCTAGTGTTTTATTATCCTTTTCTTTTAAATTGTAACAAATGTAGAAAAGAAAATGAAGTGCTTGTCTCTGAGAAAATGATTTACTGTCTAATGTTCTTCACCGCCTTTGGGTGTGAAACACTCTAAGGGATGTTTTCTCTGTTGAGCTGAGCTGAGTAAAGGAATCAGAATAAATACAGAGAGAGAGGACTAGGAGGGATGAAGTCATTTAAAGTTATCTGAACATCAAATTAGATTTGAAAGAATATGGTGCAAAATCTGAAAGAAGCAGGAAGAAGGAGAAAGAGGTTGTAAGATGGCAATTTGCACATGAGGAAAGGATAGAGAAGGGACATGAAGGAGGGAGGGAGAGAGAAAGAAAAGAGGGCTCCGTGTTCGGCTGAGAACACACAGCGTGTTAGGAGGGTGCTGCTATCTGACATCTTATGGAAATCCTTTCTCCTTTTTCCTCTTGTAACTTAAGGGAAAATGTCAGTTTCTCATTACCTTGCTACTTGTACCTATTCAGGGAACGTGTTCAAGAGCAGAAGTGCTATTTCAGGGTGGCACAAAGAGAGGTCAGAGGCTACATATGGGTACCCCCTTACACAGATGAGAAATGTTGGTGCAGGTCACACGACATGTGAATGAAGGTAGTCACCTGGTACTTTAGGTCTGTCTGACTCTCCTGCTGGGGTTGGGAACCAAGTAGGGCTGAGGATCCAGGAAGGGGCCTGATTGTTTCATCCCCAGGAAGGGGGATGAAATTGTTACTCAAAGGCAAGGCATACGTGTAGTTTTAGGCAGAAGATACTTTATAATGATAAACCCACATCCACCAGTCATCTCATTAGCATACAAATACACTCATATCAGAGGCTCAGGAACCAACTACCATGCCAAAAGACCAAAAATTAAGTTTTACTATGTGACTCGGAGGCATATACTGGTGGCAGGACAAAGGGACAGGCTAGAACTTGACCGGGAACAGAGGCAGGGCTATCCACTTTGTCCAGAAGACACTGAGCACACCTATTGCCCAAGAGAATCCTGTCTCCAAGACCAGCTCCCAGTTGCCCTTATCCTGGGAAGCCTCAGCTGTCCTCACCCAGGGCACAGCCCTGGATTCCCACTCTGGTTCCTCCAGCTCCAACCTTCCCTCTGACCCTAGCTGGACCCCAAGGAGTTGAGGCATCTGTACACAGCCCTGTCTCCCCAAGACTGGGAGCTCCTCAGCCCTCAGCAGGGGCTGGGGCCTCTCTGGGCAGAGAGAGGTGGCAGGGGGCCCTTGCTGTGTGTGCAGAACTGGAGGTTGAGTGGAGGCTGCAGGGCCCCAAAGGCCCACTGAGGTCCCTCCTGGCCTCTCCAGACCCTGTGGACAGATCCTCTAGGTTGGCATCCTGGAGAGGCCCTGGGGAGCAGCATGCTGGGAAGGCTGCAGCAGGGATAAAGCACATGGCATCAGCCGGAGGAGCCCCGAGGCCTGACCCACACCTGGCTGTGTGTGCTGCTCACAGCATCAAGCAGGAGAGCTTATTCTGTCCTCCCCTGCTGGCGGCTTCATGGGAGAGGCAGCCCAGGCTGAGGAGGACCAGGACAGCGAAGGTAGGAGGGCAGGATCAGACAGTTGTGGGGAGCACTGCACAGCCTGGTAATGCGGTCAGGGCCAGGGAGAAGGGTCCTAAGAGAGGCTCTTTCTTTGGGAGGGATCTTCTTGGGTTGCCTATTCGGGGCTCCTTCTGAGTGACTGGCCTAGGAGTCCTCTACAGCTCGTAAGTCAGCAGCTCTCAGCGCAGGGTGACTCTCCCAACCAGGGGACATTTGGACATATCTGGACACCTTTTAGAGTGTCACAATTCATGAGCAGGGATGGATGCTCCTGGCATCTACTGCGCCAAGGCCAGGGATGCTGCTAAACATTGTGCACTTCACAGGAAGCCCCAGCTGCATGGAACCATCCAGCTCCAGATGTCAATAGTGCAGAAGTGGAGAAACACTGCCTTGGGTGTGTCTTGCCTCTGCTGTTGCGCCCTGGGCTGGGGGAAGGTGGCCCCTGCTAACCGGGAGGGGAGACCCTGGGGAGGCAGAGGGTGCGCTGGATGCACTCCTGTGAGTTATGATGTCTGCTCAGCACCTGTGTGTGAGCCATCCTCTGGGAGACCAGAGCGGACAGAACTGTGTCTACATGTCAGAGGAGAGGGGGAGCCCAGTCCTGAGATGCATGGCCTTTCTGCCAATCAGGAGGTGGGAAGGTGGCCTGTAGGGGTGAGGCAGGGGCTTGAGGAGAGTGTGGGGCTTGGGTCAGCCTCTGGGGGAACTACTTTGTGACATTACCACAGGTACTAAGGTCCCACTGGGGTCAGAGCCCAAAGTTGAGAAAGGGACCAGTGGGTGCCACCTGGTAGACAAGGATGAGAACAAACAGCTCACAAGGCCAAAAACAATATCAACTCAGTGGTAACACCGCTTACTCGGTGGACTCTGAGCCCTTGACATGAATCCTCACCGAGCCCCTGAACGCGCTTCTCTGAGTACTTTCATTTTTCATTTGGGGCGAGGAGACTCGGAGTCGGGAAGTATTCCTCAGAGACACAAAGCAAGAGCTGGGATTTGCACCCTGGGTGTGATGACTGCATACCTCAACGGGCGGAGCCCGGGGCAGCGGTCCAGGGAGAGGAGATGAGCCATGAGGAGGGCATGGCGCGGAACAAGCCAGGAACTCTTTGTAGGGGAGAGAGGGCCCAGCGAAGGGAGGGACGAGACGCGGAAGGAAGTTGATGCCAGGTCTTGGGTTGGGGATGGGGGCCGCGTGGGGGACTTTCTTCTCCAGGTGATCATTGTGGTCTTCCTCGCTCCAGCAAAGTGCCCCTCACTGCAGGAGAGCTCCTCACTGTTCTGGTGCTTCCGTGTCCTCCAAGCTCCAGGCTGACCCCTATCGCGAGGAACAGCTGGGGACAAATGCCCTTGTGAGACTACTCACGTCTCATCCCTCAAATAATAGGTGGACCTGCTCCCAGAGCCAAAAACTGCAGGTGCTCGGGCAGCGAAGTGGTTCAACTTATTCACAAAAATATTTCTGTTTTATTTGACGGTGGACTTCAGATCGGAGCTTTGAGTCAATGATATTTCCAGTCTGTGGCTTTTGATCATCGTTAATTTGCACAAGGTCCTTCTCTTATTTCACTTAATAATTTGCTTTCACCCCATTTCCTCTGTGTTTTGACAATCATTCTAACATCCTTGATATGTGCTCTCTGATTTGTATTTGCTCTTGTGAGATATCTATTGCTTTCTGGGTGCATAAATGTTTTTAAATTATTTTTTTTAACTTTTTAAGTGAATGGACTTTATTTAATTAGAGAAGTTTTAGGTTTACAGGAAAATTGATCAGCATATATCAAGAGTTTCCATGTCCCTCCTCTTCCTGCCCACAGTTTCCTCTATTGTTTACCTCTTGTATCAGTGAGGGACATGTTTACAATTGATGCCCCAATATGAATACATTAGTATCCACTAAAGTCCATGGTTCACATTAGGGTTTACTCTGTGTTCAACATGCTGTGGGTTTCAGCAAATGCATAATGACAGGTGGCCTCTGTTGCAGTCCCACAAGGATGGTTTCATGCTCTATATTTGTAATGTGCCCAAACGAAATCATGGTAGAGAGTTCATCCTGTGTTTTGCTTTATTCACTCCGTAGTATTTTAAAGAATAATTTATTTAAGATGCTCTGTGTACATCTAATTCCTGCCTAAGGCTCCAGGATTTGCATCCAACCCAGCTTACCTGCCCTCTCCCCAATTATAGGCAGACCGGCTTGTCCAACTCTCCCACTAAAAGCAATCCTACAGGAGACATCCTCTTACACATCCCCTCATAAATAGGCTTTTGAAATGGAGACAGACACTCAGGAGCAGAGGAACATCGTCTGAATTTTCACCATTCTACCTCCCACCAACACTGCACCAGTTTCCCTTCTCCCCATAGCCCGATCAACACTGGGCATTTTCTGATTTTGGAATTGAATAGGTACACAGTGAAATTCCATTGCTATTCTCTCTCTCTCTCTCTCTGTGTCTCTCTCTCTTTAGCCTGGTACCTATTCACTTACCTTCGTGCCTCCTTCTGTGTTTTGTCTGCTCATATCCTTTGCCCATACAGGGTTGAGCTTCCTATGTTTTCTTGTTTATTCTTTTTGACAGTATTCCCTTCACAGTTTTAGACATTGCAAATGATCTTTTCCCAATTTTCTAGCTGCCTGTTAACTTTATCCAGGATATCCTCCGCCAAACAAAAATACTTCACGCAGACATTTTCATGTCTTTCAAATCACCTTGTCATTGCTGCTTTTGAAATTTTGTTTTAGAAATCCTTCTCCACTCCTAGAGCACAAAGTTATTTCCTTACACTTTCTCCTACTAACCTTATACTTTATCTTTCATATTTATGTCTTGACCCATCTGGATTCCATCTTTGAATGTGGTCTTAAGCAGAAATTCCGATTTACTTTGCTTCATAAAATGGACATTTTTTGCACCACAAATCCATCTTTTCCCTTTGATTTCTACTGCCACCTTCATCATATATTAGGTTTTGATAATGC